GGGTTAGTGTGCTGCCGATGCAGAAAGGGAGGACTGAGATGGATGGCGTGAAGGAGGAGGAGGCAGGAAGCCGCGCGGCCTAAGGGCCAGGCCAGGGCTCGGGACTCGGAAGAGCCCGGGCCAGCCGCGCGACATCCCCCCCCTCCGACGAAGCTGGACTACGGTACAGCGAGGGAACTGAAACAGGGAACGAAGGAGGACGGGTCAAACGGGAACGAGGCGAATGGGGGGGAGGCCGGAGACAAGAACGAGGAGAGAACGAGGCAGGAAGACGACTACGACGGAAGACGGGCGAGGCGCGACAGGGCATCGGCGTTGGTGTGCTGCGAACCGGGTTTGTAGCGCACCGTCATGAAAGGAAGGAAAGGTGTGAGGTATGCACGCATCTTCTCGATGCGGGCGGACGAAGGGCGTTGGCTGTGGAGAGGCGCGGCAAGGACGGCGCGCAAAGGGGCGTGGTCGGTTATGACCTCGATGCTCGATGCTCCTTCGAGGTAGTGCTGGAGGCGCTGGACGGCCCACGCGAGGCCTGTGATCTCAAGCTCGAGGCCTACGAGGCGCGACTCCGACGCGCTCGTCAACTTGGAGATGAAGGCCACAGGGCGCTCGTCTTGGTCGGTACTCGTCCACCGGGCGTGAGCCTGTGCGACGGGCTCCGGCGGCGGGGGGGTGCTGACGTCGCGAAGGAGCCAGTCGTTGATAGCGTTATCGCATTTGTCCTCGCGCAGGGTGCGCTCCGGTTCCCAGGTCGGTCGCGGGTCGTTCTTCCAGCGGACGCGAAAGCTGCGCTCGCCGGTGCGGCGGTCGATGCGTTCGCCGATGATACGGTCGATCTCGAAAAGAGGGGTGTCGTCGTCGAACGAGTCCGGTGTGGCGTCCAGCGGGCGGCCGAAGGGATCCTCGCTGGGGTAGGGCGCGATTTGCGACACGTCAAGCACAGGATCGATGCGCATGTCCAGCGGGAGGTCGAGGCGGACACGGTGCGGCGATCGGATTTCGGCGATGGTGAACGGACCGACGGTGGGCGGGTCGATCTTGTTGTTGACGCCGGCGGCGTGGACCGGGCGGGACTTGGTGAGGATGAGAACGGGATCGCCGACTTTGTACTTGGGAATCGGACGGCGTCGGCGGTCGTATCGACGCTTGTCCGAAGCTTGTGCGCGTTCTATTGCGTCGCGGGCCTGATGGAGCCGGCCTCGCGCGAGCGCCAGACGGTCGTCGAGAAGGCGAACGGCGGGATCGTTCTCGGTAAGGTGCGCGTTGAGGCGGTCGTGAGCACTGTCGATGTAGACGAGGTCGAAGGGCGCGTACTGGGTGCCTAGCGCCGGCGTGCTGTTGATCGCGAGTTCAGCCGCATATGCCGCGGCGATCCAATCCGGCTGGGACAGCGAGAGCGAGCGGATGACCCGTTGTAGTGTCTGGATCTGCCGTTCCACGGGGTTGGCCTGCTGGTGGTACGGCCGAGAGGGCTGGAGCTCGGCGCCGATAGTGGTGGCGAAGGTCTGGAAGGCCTGTCCGACGAACCGGGAGTCGCTGTCGGAAACGATGACCGACGGACACCAGCCGCGTCGGAGGACAGCGCGCTCAAGCAGGACGCACAAGTCGTTGGTGGAAGCGGAGGAGCGGCATGGTTCAACGAGGATCATCTTGGAGAAGAGATCCGTGACCACGAGGAGAGCGTCGGTGCCGTCGGCAGAGGGTGGGAATCCGGATGCGACGTCCACAGAGATGGTGTGGAAAGGACGATCGGTGGCGGAGAGCATGCGGGCGGAGTCGAGCGCGCCGACGGCGCGAGGGGGTTTTGTGCGACGACACGCGGGGCAGTGGCGGATGTAGGAGCGGAGCCCCTCGGCGAGGCGTGGGTGGAACACGGACTCCCTGATGCTGAGCAGGCTCTTTGCGAAGCCGAAGTGGCCGAGGTCATGCGCCGCGCTGAAGACTTTGGGAAGGAGCGCCTCGGGTACGCAGATCTGGTTGTCGAGGCCGTTTGTGCCGGTGCGGATGAGGCGACCCTCGCGGATCGCGTAGGCGGGCGTATCGGCCCCGTCACGGATCTGTCGCCACAGGCCGGAGAAGGCGGCGTCTGCGTCGATCGCGGCTTCGTACGCCGCGTCATCGCGAAGCAGCCTTGCAATGGACAGCACGTCGGTGGGGTGCGAGTGTGCCGCTTGCGGATCGGACGCGCGTTGGTGCAGAGCCGCGGCGAAGGCGTGTTTGGACGAGTCGACGTAGAGGATGAACGGCTTGCTGAAGTCCGGATGCGCGAGGACGGGTGGGCTGGCCAAGGCGTCCTTGAGGTCCTCGAACGCGGCGGCTTGATCAGCACCCCAGTCGATGCGTACCGAAGAAGCGGCAACGCGTTTGCCCTGACCGTCGGTGAGGAAGTACCGGCCCTGATCGTCTTTCTTGTAGCTGATCCCTCGGGTGAGCGAGGTGAGGGGCTCGACGCGGCGGGCGAAGTTGGGGATGAAGCTGCGGTAGTAGTTGAGGAGGCCCAGCACTCGGTAGAGGTCTTGGAGCGACTCGGGAGCGACCAGGCTTCGCACAGCTTCGGTGCGATCCTCCAGCGTGGCGACGCCGGCGGCGGAGATTCGACGCCCGAGGAGCTTGAGCTCGCTTGTTGCGAAGGTGCACTTCTCGGGTGCGAACTTGAGGCCCACGGCGATGGCGGCCTTGAGGAGCCGGTTGAGCGACGCCGCGTGTTCCTCGATGGTCCGCGAGAACACTACGACGTCGTCGAGGTACACCAGAGCTTCCGTCCAGCGCATGCCGCCCAGGAGCCGATCCATGAAGCGTTGGAAGGCGGCGGGCGCGTTGCGCAGTCCGAAAGGCACGCGCTTGTACTGGAAGAGACCCCGATGACAGACGAAGGCCGTCTTCCATCGGTCCTCAGGCTTGATGCCTAGTTGATGGTAGCCTCGGATGGCGTCCAGGCCCGAGAAGATCGTGTGGCCGCCGAGGGCGTTGTGCACGTCGTCGATGCGCGGCAGCGGGTAGCTGTCGGTGGTGCTGATGTTGTTCAAGCCGCGGTAATCGACGCACATGCGGATCTTGGCGCCCTGCTTGACAAGGAGGATCGGGTACGAGGCCGAGGAGTTGGATGGTTCGATCACGTCCCAGTCCTCCAACTGCAGCATGTTCTCGTCGATGGCCTTCCTCTTCCATGGGCTGACGCGGCGTGGCGCCTCGGGCTTCGGCGTCTCCCCCGGTAGCAGTGGTATGCTCATCTCTTCGCCGCGGATGTGGCCCGGACGCCCATCAAGGGAGAAGGCGTCGACATTGGCACGTAACACCTCGACGATGGCGGCGTGTGGTTCATCGGAGCCCGCCGGGCGGCCGACGCGGAAGTGGCCGTCGACGGTGGCTATGGGCGGCTTCTTTGGCTGATTTGGGGGCGACGTGTCTGGAGGCGGCGCGATTCGCGGGTCCCACTCGGCCGATGGGTCGACGGGGTCGGCACTGGGCTGACCGGATAGGGCCGCCGTGGTCGCCTCGTCGACGAGGGCTGCCGTCGCCAGATCGAGCTGCTGGTCTTGCTCTGATGCCTCAGCGGTGGGCGGCGCGGCGGTTGGAGCCGCGTGGAAGTGGGTCGCGCTGTTTCCCTCGTTCGTCGCGGCCTGGTCCTCGGCGTTGGGCTCGTCGGAAGCGTAGGGCTGGCCCGCGGTGTCCGGTGCCTGTGCCTCGGCGAAGAGGTGAAAGCTGGACGCCCGCTTGGCGTCGTCGCCGACCGCGAGAGGAATGGCATCGCCGAGGATGAAGTTTGCGGGGATGCGGTGAGGCCGGCGACTAAAGTTGGTGACGAGGATGGCCGAGGTGTCGGCGTCGACCAGTGCGCCAGTAGTGGCGAACATCGTGCGCGCCGGCCGATGGCACCAAAGGGCGCTGTCGAGCGTGTACGACAGCCCGCGCTTGCACGACTGAGACACAGGAACCCACACGTGGCACTCGGGTGGCAGAGTAACGGCCTGCGCTGCCCGCAGGACCTTTGCCGTTCGCGCCGCGGTGTGGCGGACGCCTTTGGTGTCATACACCGGAAAGGTGCCCTCGTCTGTAGTCGCGATCCCCCTTGCCGAGTCGATGACGATGCCAAGCGACTTGATCACGTCGATTCCAAAGCAAAGGCCCGGACCGAAGTTGCGGACGACGTGGAAGTCTGCCGAGGATTGGATGTCGATTGCTTCCTGTTTGGCGTTGGCTGCGATGCTGAAGGGTAGGGTGACGTGGCCGAGGGTTGTGTCGGAGCCGATGCCGTTGACTGGCACGCAGGGACCTTGCGGAGTCGGGGCGCCGAGTCGTTGAGCCAGCTGAGCGTCGATGATGCCGATCGTGGAGCACGAGTCAAGCAGCGCGAGGCGTTCCTGGTCGTCGTCACCCAGGCGCGCGTAGAAAGCGGTGGGCAAGAGGTCGTGGAATGCGGTGCCTGTGCCCGTGGCCGGATGGGGGGGCTTCGTCACGACCCGGCGTCCTTCACGGCGTGGACGGCTGAAAGGCAGAAGGTTGGTCGACCGGACGGCGTCAGAGATGAAGATGCATGCTGGCGTCGTATCAGACGGTCGCTCGTCATCTTGTCGGGCGTTGTCGGGGGGCTCGGCGCCCGCGCCGGCCTCCAGCAGCGTGTCGGAGTGAAGGGCCTGCGTGTCTGCGACGACGCCGGCGTCATCGTGCTGGTCGACAGAAGAGATGGAGTCGGGACGTCGGGTCGGATTAGCGAGAGCGGAGAAGTGGTTGTCTGAGGCGTGCTGAGCTTGCTTTATACAGGGTACGGCGGTGGTCGAGGTGCTGGATCCGTGCGGAGAGTTGCTGTACGAGGCGTGAGAGGACGAGTCTGTCGGGGTCGCGGCGCACGGGAGTGGAACGACGGCGTTTCCGTCGGAAAGGTGGATCGAGACTGAATGCGGACCAATGGACGAGTCAGGGGCTGTGTGCGTGACGGACGGATGGATCGAGTCGGAGTTTGCGTGCGAGCCGTTGGAAGGATCGAGAGCTGCGTGTGGTTGGGGCGGCGTGATCGAGACTGGGGTCGGATCGATGGAGGAAGACTCTATGGGCGAGGCGCGAAAATGGAAGGTCGAGTCATCGGCGGCAGGGGGCCCATCGCCGACAGGAGCGACCGCGGCATGCTGCTGGCGGCGGTCGGCTGCCGGGGCTTGTAGTTTTACGGCGTCTCGGCCGACCTGCCCCCCAGCGAGGGGCCAGAGGCGGTGGAGGGCCGGCTGTTGCTGCCGTGGCCATGACTGGACGGTTCGGGCGAGGCAAAAGTCGGAGGCGAGTCAGCGGACAGATCGACCCAGTCCGGCTCGTAGAAGGAGTAGCCCTCATACGAGTCAGGCCTGTAGACCGGGTATCCGTATGCCGTCCAAGTGCCGGCGTCCGCGAGTGCGTGCACTTCGGCTTTGACCTGCAGGGAGTCATGCTCAAAGTCGAAGTGCTCCTCGCCGCAGCGACTGCACGGCTTCTTGAGAATGATCTCGCGGCCATCGGACGGAACGCGATACGTCCTGACGCGCTTGCCGTCTTTCATCCTGTAGTTGACGTTCGCGGGATTGTAGTCCGCGCTGAGGGGTGCTCGACGGCCGGGCGGCGCTGTAGGGCTGCGCTCTTTGACCAGAGCCTCGACCGGTGGGACCGAGGTGGCTGGGACGAACGTTGACGGCGGTACCGGCAGGCCCGTGGCCGAGATCTGAGGTGCCGCGGTCGATGGTCCGAGTCCAGCGGGAGCCTGCATGCGGCGAGACGGCCTGCTGAAACGAGCCTCCGAGTTGCGCCAGGGCACCTCGTAGAGGATGCACTCCTCCAGCAGCTTCTCGGGCTCCGGATTGCGCGCGAGCGTCGTACGGATCAACGTCTTGAACGAATCCGGCAGCCCGGCGCGGATGTCAGAGCAGAGCGATGCATCCGAACGGTCGGGGTATGCCGCGCGAAGGAGGGAGTACTTGTCCCAGAAGTACTCCGTCGAGTCCTCTGTGGCCGGGTCCCAGACTCTGGCATCGGCGACCTGGCGCGCTCGGTCGAGGTTGCCCGCGAACGTCTTCTCGAGGAGCTTGCGGAACTTGTCCCAGCTGCGGAGGATCTCGCGGCGTCGTTCCGGGCGAAGTGCGTTGTACCACTGGGCCGCCGAGTGGCGAAGGCAGAGGGGCAGCACCTTCAGAACGGCAAGCTCGTACTCGTAGGATGACTCGCTGTCGAGAAGGGCTTCGATGCGGTTGCACCAGAACTCGAGGGAGAGGCCGCCGGCGACGGTCTTGCCGCTGAAGGTGCCGATCTCGTCGGGCTTGATGTTGAAGCGCTTGCCGTTGCCGTTGGTGTCGGCATCATCGCGATCGCGTCGGCGGTCGGGGCGCGTGTCCTGGTCGCGCTCGCGACGGGTGTCATCCTCAGGGGAGGGCCTGTATGCTGCGTCGCGCCCGTCCAGGCGGCTCGGGCCTGTCTCGCGTTGACGGCGGGAGACGGAATCCCAGTCTCTCGTGTCGAGACGCTGCGAGCGTCCGCTTATGCCAGCGGAGGTGGCGTGCGGCTGTGCGCCGGCGGGCGGCGTGGCCGGAGCTGTCGCGCCCATCACGCTGGAGACTGGGGCTGGGCTGGCGGTCGACCTGGGAAGAGAACCGACTGTCGCGGCCATGGCGTCAGCCTCGTCCTGTGAGAAGCCCTGGTCGCGGAAGGCCGCAACGACCGCAGCTCGAGCGGCTTCTTGAGCGGCGCGGCGTCGGGCTGCCTCGTCGGCTGAGGGACGCTGCGTGCGCATCTCGGTGGCTAGGTCATCGAGGCGCTTGTTGAGGGGCTTGAGCTGATTGGCGAGTGCCGTTTCGAAGGCGTCGACGAGGCTTTGCGTGTAGGGTCTCGCTGGACTGCGCGGTTCGTCGGTGCTAGCGTTGCCGCTCGACGGGCCCGGTTGTGAGGCGGAGACCTGGATGCTGGGCAGACCGGGCCGGTCGGTGGGAGCCGCCGAGGCGCTACCCGACGTAGGCGTGAGGCCCGGCGCCGACGACGAGGCAGCGGGATCGGCCATGGTGGACGAACGGGAGAGGTAGGGGAGAGGTGGCAGACTGGACAGTGAGGAAAGGAGAGCGCGAGAGGCGGGTGGGCGGATGAATGCGGGTGGTTTGCTCGAGTAGAAGCCGGGGTCGGAGGAGGGTGTCGGAGACGAGGATCCCGACTCGGTGAGGAGGGTGCGGCGGGGTCTACGAGGGAGGGGTGTCTGCGACGGAGGGTGGTTCCGAGGAGATCGACGAGTGACGTGGACCATGTAAAGGTGACGGAAGAGAGTGGGAAGGAGAGGGCGGGAAGGAACCGGACTCGGTCGCTCCGTCTGCGGGGTCCGCCGCGACTGGGGTGTCGATGGCGAGGGAAGGCGAAGCTCTGGCTATGGGGGACCTAGAGCTGAGGCGATGAGCAGAAAGACGCTCTTGTCACCATGTGCTGCCGATGCAGAAAGGGAGGACTGAGATGGATGGCGTGAAGGAGGAGGAGGCAGGAAGCCGCGCGGCCTAAGGGCCAGGCCAGGGCTCGGGACTCGGAAGAGCCCGGGCCAGCCGCGCGACAGTTAGGGTTAGA